GCCACTGAGCTTTAATAATGTATGTAGGTTGTTCGGATATAAAGTTTAGCTCGGACTATGGTCACCTGTTGTTCTGCTGTAATATTTCCCGTAACCAGGGAGGTGTAAAAGCTTTAACCTCCAGCCGATTTCTATTTTCAGTTTGTTACATCTAATATTTTCCGTGGTAAACATGCCCGATTTTGATATGAGAAAAAGCAGACGAAGTGACAGAATATTAATAAGCAGTTTAATCAAAATATTTTGCGGTTGTTTCAAAATTAGGCCTTTTTAATTTAGCTCTTTACTCCAATTTTTTTGATTTTATCAGCTATCAAATTTTATAGTATATTTATGAAAGATGGTAAACATGGTCATAACATTATGAAAATGCCCGTATTTATAGGAAATTTTATGTAGATTCAGAATATGTACACCTTTGAAGACTTAAGTGCCTTGGCTTTGTGAGAAAATTAATTTTTTTGACCCTTGTTTTTCAGCTATGTTTTATGAAGGTTCACTTCCTATATCTATTTATAGTTCTCGTGGTACTACAACGGCCTATATTTTCTTATTCTACGCATTTTAATAAGTAAATAAAAGCAGTGTCTACAAAAATGGTGGCATGACGAAAATATCGCCAATTTTCATGAGCATGGAAAAAAGTTGAAAAACATTTTTGGCTATTTTTTTACTCAGTTTCAAAGGTTTTAGAAATATAATAAAAATAGTGCTAAAACTATTTGTAAGAAATATTATGTAGATTCAGAATATATACACCTTTGAAGGCTTAAGTATCTTGGTTTTGTGAGAAAATTAATTTTTGGACCCTTATTTTTCAACTATTTTTGATGAACGTTCTCTATATCTATTACAGTTCTCGAAGGACTACAATAGCTTATATTTTCTTAGTCTATATCTTTTAGTTACCTAATTTATTAGAGCATGTTAATATTCTGGAAGTGTTTGGGAGGTGTTGTTGGTCTAATACGTTGGTGTCAAACTTACTAAACAAACAAAAGGTGAAACACAATCTGCTTGCTCAGGACGTTCAAGTATACTAATCTACGCCAAGGGCCAATAAGCTCCTATATTTATATTTCACGCGATCAAAAAACAACTCTCAAAAGGTGTTTTCTTAAAAAATGAACAAGAGCCATACATTACAAGGAAGGTGCTCCTCAAAAATCTTTAATGGAATGTTATTTTCGAAAAAACCTAAGTATCTTACCGAGCGTCATGAATTAATGCATCAGCCAGACAAAAAGATTGTCAATATAAATCGTGCGTCTTTTAAAGTGGAGCAAAACTTCGTAACTTTGAGGGAAATCGCATTGAAAACAGAATCTTAATTTTTTAAATATTTATCTAGATGTTTGCGTAGATGCTGAATTCTTTAAGACAAGATTTTTTCATCTCGAGGTATTATATTGCAAAAATTATAAACAAAAAATAAAAGAAGCTTTTCTGAAATCTAATAAAATATAAATAAATGTATTACTCAAACACAAACTGTAACAGTACTTTCCATAAAATCAATAAAATGAAAAAATATACGAAATAATATACATCATGTACTGATTTCTTTCGAAAATCGACAACTATGAAACTATGATCCCTTCTTCGGATACAAACGGTACATTGTGAGACAGGAAATTGTAGAGAGAAACAAGCTCTATAACATAGGATACAACATTTTAATGAACAGTGCTTTCCATAAAATCAATAAAATGAAAAATATACGAAATAATATACATGTACTGATTTTTTTTCGAAAATCGACAAATGAAACTATGATCCCTTCCCGGACACAAACGGTACATACAGGAAATTGTAGAGAGAAACAAGCCCTATACCATAGGATACAACATTTTAATGAACAGTACTTTCCATAAAATCAAGTTCAAATCAAGTTGTATAAACTATTTTGTTTTTGAAGATATTAGAGCTTTTGGACTTAAACCATCTCTTCTAGAGTAACTACCAATGAACAATAATAATATGATCTTTTAATGATAGAGACATCACGAAAACAGTAACAAAACCAAAGGCAAAGGTATGGTTTTAATGTAAAAATCACTAGAGTCGTGCTCCTTTTATTGCAGCTATGATTTTTCAAACACCACAATAAAAAAGCGCATCTATAGACAACAATATGTAGATTTATACAGTATAGTATTAAGTAGTATGGAATTTAGCATTATTTTTTATCACACAACAAAAAAGAATGGCAACATTGTTTGATCAGAGATGGAGGTAAGATATAAATTACCCTAGGGATTGGTGGGTATCATCGTTTCGGGCTTTTTTATTAGATAGCTGCCTTCTCCGTTTTGTTTGCCTTTGTTTTTTCCCCTTTTTAATAATTGACACTACGCTAGGGCCCTTAATTTACAAACAGAATCGTACGGGCTGCGAAAATCAAGCACTGTGTAAGTTTTAATTTGTTATGAGGCTAGGACAATTTTTCTTTTGGCTAAATTCGTGAATTTAGCACAAAAAAAACGGTCTAGCCCCATAACAAATTAAAATTGAGATTCGAGCTTGATTGTTGCAGATGTTTCTAACAAATAAGTTCTGTTTGTTCTTATAAATTGTTATTAGAGAAAGTCAGATTAGGAGACACAATATACTTATTTATTTAATTTTTATAACAAGGTATATTAAAAAGATTATTAGAGTCAATATTGATACATTTTCAAACGCCCTACTAAACAGGGTCATAAAATTATGAAAATATTAGTATTTGTAGGAAATTTTATGTAGATTCAGAAAATGTAAAATTTCTTCAAATGTCTTTGAAAAACCTTTGAAGGTTTAGGTATTTTGGCTTTGTTGGAAATTTAATTTTTTTAACCCTTGTTTTTCAGCTCTTTTTGCGGAAGATTAAAACGTCTTCTACATCCATTACTGTTCTCGTAAGACTATAATGGCCTATATTTTCTTATTCTACACCTTTTAGTTAGTCAATAACAGCAGTTTTAGCAAAATCGGTGACATGGCGAAAATCGCCAATTTTCATGATTCTATGATTTGATATGGAAAAAGTTGAGAAAATGTCCATTTTTTGCTCATTTTCAAATGTCTTTGAAACATAGTAATCAAAGGCATAAAACTATAAAATTTTCATCATTTGTAGGAAATTTTATATAAATTCAGAATATAACCTGTACAGCTTTAATTAAATAGAAAAAGAACTCTAGAAACATTGATCAGAAATGACATTTTGAAAATTTCAGCATTTGTAGAAAGTTTTATAAATATAATCTATAATTATCTTGTAATTATTGTGTAGAGAGGGAAGATAATGTGATAAAGCGCAGGCTATTAATAATTAAATCTATAGAGAGGTTGTCGGTGTTAAGGCCCATTTGACCTCTTATAAGCATAAAGCACTGGTAAACAAAACCGTATTTCGGGCCAAGCTGTTGCACTGCAGCCTGGAAAATTAACACCTGACTGGTAATTTTATTGAGTAGAACTTATGGCCCAGTCCTAATTTCCAATTCAACGTTCGTATCAATAATTAACGATTAGTGAAAATTGGCGCCGCTATTTTCTAAATCTGCTCAGCTCATTTTTAACGTCAAAATTAAAAAAATCAAATAAAACATTTTTTTTATATACTGTTATAGGTAATAACTATTATTTATTTTTAAGTTCGTAATTTGAAATGTTTATACTTGATACTGTGTGAAAAATAATGTAAAATAGACAAACCTTACTTTTAAAACAAAGGTACCCATGATCTTAGCCCATGATATACAACCCAATATAATTTCTGGTTATAGTGTAAGACATACATTAGATATGACAGTAAATAAGCTTGTGTGTAAATGTTTTAAAACTTCCAAAAAACGATTTACGGAAATTTCATAAAAAAAACATTAATAATTT